GGCATAGCCTAGTTGTGATTCCAAAACAAAGTTGTAGCCCCATTCCCAATAGCCACCCTTGAACCTGCACATATGAACTTGGCGTTTTCTGAAATGCCTTTCCAAACATTCGACATGTTTGACTTAGATTCAAACATGTCAATGTCACATCTCCCTTTGCAATATATTGCTCTAAGAACACGAGACCATAAAGCATTTGGCTCAGTCAAAACACGCCAACCTAACTTAGTTAAGAAAGCCGCATTAGTTTGTCTTGAAGATCTAATCCCCAAACCACCTTGTTCTTTCGGTTTTTGGAGGCACTCCCAAGAAATGAGGTGGATGCGACAATTCTCCTGATCACCACCCCAAATAAACCTCCTAGTCCGTTTATCAATCTCATCACAAATTGTTCTTGGGATTTTTGCAGTTTGCATTGCATATAAGCTCATAGTAGTCAAGGTTGTTTTTGCAAGGGTAATATGGCCAGCAAGAGAAATGTACTTAGACTTCCACCCCGCAAGACGACGGTCAATTTTCTCACATAAATATGCAAAAGTGTCATGAGTTACTCTACTTGTGAGAGTAGGCATACCAAGATATGTGTCTAAATCATCAGTTGCATCAATCCCCAAGGCATGGCAAATACTTATAGTATCATCAGTGCGCATGTTTTGTGAAAAATAAACACGAGATTTGGGATAGCTCACCTTCTATCCTGAAGTGCTACAAAATCGAGCTAGACACTCTTGAATTACCACTGCTTGCTCAACTGTAGCCTGGGCAAAAATGATTATGTCATCCGCGAAACATAAGTTGGAAAGTTTGGGACCATTCCTACTAGCATAAATCGGCTTCCATCTATTCTCTATAATTGATTCTTCAATAAGTTGGTTCAACCTCTCCATACACAAAACAAAATTATATGGAGATAATGGATCTCCTTGACGAATTCCACGCCCCGGTTTAAGAGATTAAGTCGGTTCTCCATTCCAAAGAACACGAATCGATGAAGTAGTAATGCACGTACTCCATTATGAGCTCTTTAATAAGGATGGTGAAGCGAATTTCATAAAGTGTGTCATGAATAAAATCTCACCTCAAACGGTCATATACTTTCTCAAAACGATTTTAATTGTCATGAGCCCCTTTCCTCCTTTTTTTTTTTCTCATCGTATGTATGACCTCTTGAACAATCACTATACTATCTGTGATTTGTCTACCAGGAACAAAGCTCGTCTGAGTACACGAAGTTAAGTGTGGCATCATTGGTTTAATCCGATTAACAATAGCCTTAGTAATAATTTAATAAGCCATATTAAAAAGGCTAATAGGATGGAATTGAGTTGCTAGCTCCGGATTATCAACTTTTGGAATAAGCACGATGAAAGTTTCATTCAAATTTTCCGGAAGCCCCTACCCATTCAAAGCATCTAACGCCACCTTATACACATTATCCGCAGCTAAATCCCAATGTTTTTTAAAAAACAAAGCTTGAAAACCATCCGAACCCGAGGCTTTCATTGCTCCCATCTCAAAAACAACCTTCTCTATCTCACAGTTTGTAAATGACCGTGAGAGCATATCCCAATCCCTAGTTGTGAATTTTGGGAAGATGTCTATAGGCATAGGACAATGGCTGGGCTGCTCCTCTTCCGTAAATAAATTTGTAAAATAGGAGACAATATTTTCTTGTATACGACCTTTCTCATAAATCCATTCTGCATTAGCACTCTCTTTAATGGAAGTGATATTATTCCTCCACCTTCTAGCAATAGTACTTAGGTGAAAAAAAAGAAGTATTACGGTCACCATCACGAATCCATTTAACCCTTTACTTTTGATACCAAAGTAATTCTTCTTGCTCAAGGACCTCATCAAGCTCCTTTCGGAGTTTTGCTTTAAGCTTGATAAGATCCCTAGATTTTTGTTCGACCAGGCACTTTTGAACCCCAACAATCCTTGCTAGCAAATTCCTCTTTTTGTTTTAAATATTATGGAACACATCCTTGTTCCAGACTTGCAAATCATCACTGACTTTTTTTGAGGAGGGGAACGAGAGGGCTGTTATTGTCCCATTTTTCTTCAATAAAACCATTAAAGTGCTCATGAGTCAACCATGCTGCTTGAAATTTAAAGGGCTTGTTAATAGTTGAAATTGGTGCAAAACCATTCAGAGCAATTAAAAGCGGGTTGTGATCTAATTAAACGGCAGGTAAATTCTTAGCCTCAGCATTCGAAAATCTAAGGCTTCATTCTTCGTTGCAAAGAGCCCTATCAAGTCTAGCACTTGTACGAGTGGCTAAAGAGTTACTTCTCGCCCAAGTGTGATTCGGGCCAGTAAACTCGATCTCTAATAAATTCATATCCTCCACCCATTCATTGAAGTGTGCTGCACGCCTAGAGGTCTTGGGGCAACATGAACTATGTTCATGACCAAAACGAGTATCGTTAAAATCACCTGCTAGCATCCACGGTTTGTTATGAGTCGCTGCAAAGTCCTTTAACTCACGCCATAAGTCACTTCTTTTTGTTGGATCCGGACTTGCATACACAACTGTGAAATACTAAGGATCACCCCCTACACGTCTAATATCCATAGTAATATGTTGATTATGTTGTAAAGTTGTCTCTATTGTCACAAGTTCGGGCTTCCGGTAGACCCAAATTCCACCACTAAACCCTTGAGCATCCACCCTTGTCTGCATTGCATATCCCAAAGTGGTATAAATTCGTTCAACTTGTTAACCCCCCATGTGGGTCTCAACAAGAGCAAAAACATTCTGTTTATGGTTTCTTATTACTTCCCTCAAAGCACTAATAAAAGCACGATTACCGGCCCCTTTCACATTCCATACCATGCATGAAATAGGCAACGAATTTGGAGCTAAGTTTGGTATAATATCTTCCATTATTGAATTTTCCTTTCCAAGCTTATCCTTACCAAAGAAAGAATGGACTGAATCTTTTGGGTATTTCAAATTTGTTAATTGCGCAAGTGGACCGCTTTTTTGTGAAGCTACTTTAGTAGCTTTGGAGGAATCTTTTTTCTTGTTATTTGATTTGCCTCCAACCCGATTATATTGGCTATTTTTTTCCAAAATTAAAGGGGGTAGATTTTGGTAAATTAACAAAATTACTTTGGGATTGATCTCCGAGATTCATTGTGGGAATATTTTCCTCACTAATGGACGGAGATATTTTCAAATCTTTTGTAGTTTCCCTTGTTCCCAAATTGATAGCATTCCCAGGACTATCATTTGCCAAAGAATCCTCTAACAACTTATCTTCAACAGCACCTTGGGAGGCAAGGATTGCAAAACTTGACTTATTCGCTTCAATACCCCCCGTATCTTTATTAAAATTTTGGCCCTCCTTTCCTTGACCCGATCCACCTTTTTTTGGTCTCGGGTTTCTTTTTCGACCCGGTTTTTTAACAAGCATCCAATCCCCCATAGTCATCGATTTCCTCTGGTTTTGCTAGAGGTTCTTTGTTTTGCACCTCAATAATTTCTAATTGACTATTAACATTATCAATAACCATATTATCATTCAGATGCTTCAAAGCACATTGATCTTCAACATGATCGAGCTTCCCTTATTTTGTAACACAACATCTTAATCCCTTCATACTATATCCTCCAAATCTTGCCCTTCAACCAGAATTTTGCTAAGAGAGGTTTAGAAATATCAATCTCCACACTTAATCTTGTAAATTGCCCTCTTTTTGCATATGCCGTGGACTTGTCAACTCTGATAACTTTACCAATTTTTGCACCGATCTTCATCAAGAACTCTTTATCAAAGTACTCAACACATAGATTTAGAATTCTAACCCACGTAGTGAGTACATTAATTGAGGCCTCTTCAGGGATGAAACTCGTAGTCCATTTCCTTATTGTGAGGTACTTATCATCAATAAGCCATGGACCTCGCATAAGAACATAATTATAATCATCCACGTTATTAAAACGTGCAATGAAGTACTTACATCCTATATCAGTTAAGATTAATTCCCCCTACAATTGCCATTTGCGTTTGAGTTGTTTCATTAACCCCATATAACCAAGGCTTCCATCGAACATCCTAATTATCAGAGTATGCTTCCAAGGTTTGCGCATAGCCCTCTTCTCCTCCTTTGTGAGCAAAATGATAGGGCACCTATCACTATCATCCATCTATTCCGGGGCTTCATCATCATCAAAGACATCATCATCTTCCATATCAATATGATTTCCCAAGTCAGCATGGGATACAAGTTGGGTGTTTCGCAATAGATCCCTAAAGGATTTGGCTGTAGCACCAGGAATTAGTGGCAACTGCTGTTGCATTCCTACAAATGGAGTAGCTTTATTTGCTTGTGCAACCTGCGCAACTCCTGGGTTCTCGACATCCATTGCGGATGAATCTGGATTAGTCTCAGCGGCCTCTTCCTTATTTGAAAATCAAATGCGTGATTTTCCTATAAGGTTTCTTGTTCGATCTAGCCAATTGATCTACTATGTCAGGGGGGGTTTGGGTGATTCTGGTTATCGATCATTTTCCCTTTGTTGCAATCCTTGAATTAATAAGATTGTCCGTTGTTCACATTACATTACTCGACAATTCTACAAAGCAAGTTTGAAAATTGGTCCATACTTCTTTAATTTCTTGATAAATTAAATTTAATGAAGCTTACTTAATAACGGAATCCTCTTAATAATTTACAAAATCCTTTTTTCTATCAATCAATTAAAACCTTAATTTTATAAGTGGGGAAAACCCTTTTTTCTATGAACTAAAAAAATTATTCTGATAATGGTGATAAAAAAATGTATGCCAATCCTACCCAAAAATTCCATCACCACAAGCTCTTTTCACCAAAGAAGCAAACATTAAACTTTGATTTTCAAATATCGTTGCTCTCAAACGCATCCAAGAGCAATCTTACCCCACAACTTGCTATTATGAGGCTATGAGCTTGCTTATTGATTAATTGTGATTGGCTAATTGTCTAACTCAATAAGGGAATACAATATAAAAACCACAATTAACTTCAAATAATTCCAAACATATAATGCCAAATTACCTCCAAAATTTTTAGCAATCAAATCAGTAAAATAATCCAAATTAGAAATTACTCCATACCATACAATTATAGTCCCGGTTTGTGCAAAAAGTCCAAATATTACGTATTTACAATGAACATGTAATATACTCCTAAGATTATTGTTCAAGATTTCAATTATTAGGGTAATATACACAATTAAATTCATGATTTCTAATGTCTAATTGATGCTTTAATACACATTATATATCAATATTCGGAATTAAAACAAATTAATTCTTACAAGGAAAAAAAAAAAAAAAAACTTCTTTTAAAGAGAAATTTATCATCATTATCATAGAAACATCTCATTTGTACAATTCTATAGGAAACTCTACTATATCAAACACTAGGCCTAATCCAACAATCAACCCACACAAAGAGAAAAATGAGATAGAAATACCTAATGTAAATAAACACCCCAATATTCACCACCAAATTTTTGATTTATAGAGAGGTACTTTACATCAAGATTCATTTCCCACCAAACCTATTCATATATCTACCATCATATTATCAGCGTACTCACAAACCAATCATAGACACGTAACGCCGGGAATATGACTCGGCCCCTGAATCCGAGGCCGGCATTTGCCTTTCCCGGCGGCGATCCTCATTTGAACCTTCTCGAACTCCGATATCGGACATGGAATAGTGATCTGACCCGGATGATCAAACCCATAAACATTCTCAGCTTCTTCCAATAACTTACCAAACAAAGGATGGTTCAAAAACAGGACAGGAACCACAACTCGCCGCAAATGACCTTCAGACTCTTCCACGTGTACAGCCAAGTGACCCTTTGGAACATGAACCGGTTTTGAGTCAATTAACGAGTCATGACCAACTCGAACATAACCACGAGATGTTACTGAGTTGATCAAACCACGTTGAATCTTTTTTCCCCATTTACATAATCTGGAAATTGTTTTACTCCTTTGCAGATTTGCACCTTCTAATCTCTCGTATTTGCTTGAATATGATCTTTTTCGGGTCACCCATTTAAAAACCCGGATTAATTTTCTGCCCAATTTGAATCCCCTGTTTCTCCCTCTAATCATCATTATGGCTTAATTAGTTGATAATCTAAGATAAATTAGGATTAATTGGGTGAAATTGGATGGTTTTTTGAAAAGGGTTTTTGAGAAAGAAGTCCAAAAATGCTGTCTTTTGAATAAACTCTGTTTTTTTTTTGGTGTAAAATGGTCTGAAACAGAGGAGAGAGAAAGAAAAAGGAATGAAAGAGCTGGAAGATGATTATGCGGATTAGAGGGAGGAGATATATATGAAAAATAATTGGAAAAATCAAAGGGTATTTTTATTTTTAAATATTTATTTTTGGGGAAATACAAAAAGTCAGCTGATTAATTTGTTGTAATGATGCTTCGTGGGTGTAACGATTAAAGTCTAAGCTCTGTTTAATGTGTATTAATATAAATTAATGTATGAGAGTAATAAATGTTGGGGGAATTAACAATTGTCTACTCAGAAATTGTTTGGTTTTTATGGTAATATAAAAATTTGTTAATTATGTAGAAGATCTGTTTGTTTAGTGGGTACGTATTAGAGGAAGGAAATTTCGGTGGAAAGCGACAAATAAGGCAATAAATAAAAATATAAAATATCCTATACAATATATGTTTCCCCTGCCTAACGTAGTAACGTTGGGTGTACTTTGTAGTTTGTACAGTAAATAATACGGACAATTTAGTAGAACTTAAATATAATTAGCTACATAATGATACTAATACTAAAATATCAACTACCAATCAAATTAACGGTTTTATGGATTCTTGCATACAGAGTATATATGTTGGTACTTACTACTTACTACAAATTTATGGTTATAGAATGATGTTCATGATTAATTGCCATTGAGTTTGACATTATAAAGCGTATTTTGATGTGCGATGTATAGGTAAAGTACAATTGTATGTGCGCCTTGCTTATAGTGCTTTTGACATCCAATGCTTGAATTGTGCATGTTGTATACAAGCTAGGAATAGTTAATATATGCCTCCAAAATTATTTAGCTGGATGTAAGCACAAGTGTACAAAGAACTTGTAATTTGAGTGATGTACAATCTTGTATAAAACCATGCAATCAAATAATTAATCATGCTGAAAAGAATCTTGTTGCTAGGATTTTATGCACCAAATATGCATGAGATGATTGGCATCTAACACAGAAGTTGCATCCACTAGAAAAAGTGGACTATGTACATACTATACTAGTCCCATTATCATCATAAGAGTAGTTTGCGATGAATCGCAATTAGCTAAGACAAGAAGCAAATTATCCTATGGTTAAGCAGCCTTAGCACATAAATCAGTATCATGATACAAATTTTAATTATCATTCCCCCCCCCAAATGTTGTATTAGGTTAGTTATACATTCAACAATAATACATGATAATTGATAAGGTGTACACTTAATTTTGTGATACCAATAATTAATCACTCTATAGAATAATTAGTTTCCTTAACTTGTGATGTTTATTATCAAGGAAGAATGCAATATAATGGCATTAAGCATTACAATAATTTAATATAAATCTTATAAATACATATCAAGATTATTACTCTTCTTACTCTCAATGGATTAAGATTTTACTGTCAATTAAATATAAACTCAATCTCAATGTAAACTAATAATTAAACAGAATCACATCCAATTATATGATTCATTAATTCATTTACTATCTCTTATCAATCTTATCTATTACAAGTTTAGAACTCATACTATGTTGTAACAATAAACATCATGTTATATGGTAATAGCCAATGTACTACGTACGGTCGTACGAAATAACATATTATTTTTTCTACATAACACACTAACATGTATCATCAGTTTTTTTTTTCGTTAAGCAATTTCACGTAACAAAATTAACTAATTTTGTGTTGGAAAAAACTACTTCACCTACCAAATTTCAAGTTGCATGCCATACAGCATACTCCGTACCAAATAATATCAGAGCTACAGCTAAAAAGATTACGAAAACCTAGTTTTCTTGTTTATTTATGGCATTCAAGTTCAAAAGAAATCTACTCGTTATAAATCTCATAATCTCCAAGTACTATTTGGACAATAATTAAAAACTTGCTTTCTTTGTTTTTGTCTTTTAACTATTGTTTACAGCTATTAAGTACTATGTATGAGTGTGATTAGTTATATAGTTAACATAAATAATTGAGCTTTATAATGCACGTAAGGGTCAAGAAAGATGATTATGGAATACGTAGTAGATTATTACTTAACAAGGAAATTTGTCATTTTTTCATTGTACGACCCTTTGATGAAGGTTTGGGTCAGAGATAGCTTATCTCCATTCCCAATTAAGATTTTGAATTAAATTTGTTGGAGCAAAAGGACAAACACATTGAAAACATTACTTTATCAAATTGAGGTTTTTGATAGATTGAAAATATTAAACGTAACTATAAAGTCTAGAATAATAATAACATATAGCAATACGAATTAATATTAAACGGGACTATAAGGACAATAAGACAACTATTATTTAATCTTTAGCTTTTTCGAGTAGTGAATATCATAACATGTATGATACTTATGTATTTTTTCATTTATTTATAATTATACAAAAAAAAAATAATCATGATATTTGTATCCATATACTACATATCTAATAATCATAATTTGAATGAATGAAAAGTACTTAAACTGCTTAGAATTATATAAATATCAATGCAATTTGCATATTTAAAAATGAACATCCCTGCAATAACTAATATAATCCTTAAGTTGTGTACTTAATTATTAATTTTGGAAAGAGCTTTCTCCAAGAATAGTAGTGGTATTATAATCATACTTTGAAAAGTATATTTAAATGGAGATAAAAGTAAGGTACGCAAAAGACAAAAATAATAATAGTAAAAGTATTTACACGATGAAGCAATAAACTAAAATTAAGCTATATTCCGTACTTAGTCTTACTAAAATAAGGAGTGTATTATTATTATTAATTAACTAATTGATCAATTAAGTGTAAAACAAGTTGGACAGAGAAAGGCCCAAACCTAAGAAAACGTTAATAGGTTCGAAAACTAGCTGGATTAAACCGACTTTATAGTGAAATGTACAAGAATTAAACGCATGAAATTGGAGCTTTTGGAGTACACACGTACATTCCGTACAAATATAGGAAACCAAGACAATAAATAAACACAAGTGTTGCTTTCTATGGTCGTGATATACGGAAGTCTACACTTAGAAAGGGAAATTAATTTACTATATAATACGTTATTATTTAATAATATATATAAAAAAAAAACAATAAATACTTGTATTAGATTATGCTTTTATGGGTGGCCTCTTCATATTTGTTTTTATAAAGTTGACATGATAAAATGTCATAATTTTCCACTAGAAAATATATGGAGTGAGCAATTTGCAATCTAATAATAGCACCAATGGAATATTATATAATAAGTTAAGTTTAAGAAAATTGGGGTATCCTACTAATAAGAATTTGGATGAAAAACACTCGAATTAGGAATAGGTTTATAATTTGTGGTCTTACAAGTCTTAATACTCATAGAATAATAGTCATTTAATTCAAAATGCCTTCTTATACATGGTAGATACACATATCAAAGACAATAAAAATAAATTATTCTGACTTAGGACATTAATAACTTTATGATGAAAGATATAAATTATGATAAGAAGAGTGTTCTCAATGCAAAAGTGGGTCTAGTTGAGGTAAAATAATACTCCGTAGTATTTCTTTGAGAGAAAAGAAAATAAAGTGAAAATGAGAAGAAATTCATGAAATTAATAACCTTAAATAAACAAAAAGTGAAAAGAACTTCACGAAATGATCTAAAAGCAAGGAATAGTACATCATTATTATAAGTTTAATCCACTAATTTCAAATCGATATATTATATGGATCATGGTGGATAATATGTTATGATATTTTTTGTTGAATATTTAATGTTAAATTACTTTTTTTGTGAATAGCTTTTACCACTACAAAAAATAAAAAGAGATATTATATCTTTGGAAGGAAACTTCATAGAAGGTGCAATAAGTTCGTGCAACTTTGTATTTTTGAGGTTCTTACTTTCAAAGTGCATGAATGTTTTGCTTGAAGAACTTTCTATTCCTAGTATGATTGATACCCTACTACTCCTATCCACTCAAAAAAAGGAAATGAACAAATTCAGGACTTTCAGGTCAACATTATCCTAGTTTTGGTACATTAAATCAACCGTCAAATTTGTTACTGATTATTTCCAAACTCCATAAAATAAATTATGGACTAGTTGACAAAATTTGAGACCAATAACACCAAACTTTAACACGTGCACGCACGAGTGAGCAAGAAAACACGATCTTAAATCATGTCCCTCAAACGCTTTTGTTCATGTGCACACGAGTGGGTAGTATACTTTATAATATATTCAATAAACAAATAATTATATGTACACTCGAATTTTCCTAGATGAATCACGATATTATATAACGTCGACCAAAGTTGTAAAGTTAGATTATCAAACTTTGGTTATAGAAACTGATTAAGGAATTTTGCTCCCACCAATCGGAATGCGCCACGTGGGCCAATCAGGTCCTGCTAAGTGTTCCCCAGTTGGACATCTCAGGGCTTGCCACGTGGCACACGCTTATTCGTCCACCCTGGACTTATTATGTCATGACACGTGGCATACTCCATGCCTAATGGAGAAGCCGGTCACCTAGGCCCAACTTCCGAGGGAAGCCCAATCAGCCCAAGGTTAACCTAAACCTAGATTGGCACGTTTCCCGAGGTTATAAATACCTCCCTTAATCCTCATTAAGGGGGAGGACGCGAACAACGCAGATTACACACATTAAACACTCTCACCTAGAGAGACCCAATCACTTTAATTTCCGCATTAATTACTCCTTAATCAAGTACTAACTTGACCGTCGGAGGCGGATCTCCAATCATCCGGAGCATCCGTTTGTTTTGCAGGTACAGGCGTCCGATTCCAGTCTCGGAATTGTAACTCTCTCGCAGGACATCAGAAAACCCCGAAACAGAAACAATAATTTTTCATTGTCCCAAAAATATGGACAACTCATATTATACAATTAGCAAGTCATGTTGTGATGGATTATTTGTTTGGTTTGTAAAGATCCAAGATTTACATGTGCCCTGGAGACAGCCATACAAGGGTGGCTATTTTAAAAGCACTTTGCATAAGTTGTCCATATTCTATGAGGCATGGATCTTATATTACGGTAATTTAATTACCGCGAAACTATGATTATCAAAAGGATCGTGACATAATTAATCTAGGTAATTGGATTTCTAGTGGAACATAATTAGTCTAGGTAATTGGATTTCTAGTGTAACATAATTAATCTAGGTAATTGGTTTGTGAAACAATTCTTAAGTTCTGTTTATCTTTTCAATTGTATGCTTTTCT